GCAGTATATAAACAACCTCGTCCGAGTGTTCACACTAGGGGCGGTACCGTAATTACTTGGTTTGTTGCGTTCACACTTGAAGCTCGTCCTGTTTCTATACTGCGAGTGTTCACACTAAGGGCGGTACCGTAATTACTTGGTTTGTTGCGTTCACACTTGAAGAGTTGGTTAATTACGGTACCGCCCCTAGTGTAAGACTACTGTTAATTAGACGGATCTAAGAATTATGCATCAAATTTTTTTATAAAGAATATGCATGCTTTCAAATTGAATTGTCATACTCTAATTAAGTTACGAGACCAATAACCGTGTGATATTTCATAGCATAAATTTGCATTTTTTGTAAAAGAATTTGTGTTGCTAAATTTATTGAACTAATGATTAGTATTTGGATTTTGGGTTAATTAACTTAAAAGTAACAATTTGTGTTTGTTGTGTGCATGGAATTTCACGCTTGTTTTGGTGGGCAACGGCAAATGTCTCGCTCACTTTGCCTTTGGCCCTTGGCCCTTGGGCTGCTAAACCACGCCAAAGTTCCATTTTAATTATTGCATTGTGTGGATATTTTACATATATATAATTCTTTATTTATTTTTTTCTTTTTCTTTTTCCACTCAACAATAAATTATGTTATATTACTTACTTGTCTTTTCAATGGAGGATAATTTTAATTCAGAACCGCACCAACCGGTCAAAATTATTAAAAATTTGTGACCTGAGTCATACGTTTTTATTTTGAATAAAAAAAATTGAATCTATATAATGGAATCCAATAAATAAAAGTAAGTAAGAAATTTCTCCTTTTACACCAATAAATTCCGAATTTAATTGATTATTTTCTACCAAATGCTACGAATATTTTCAACGATTTTTTTTTATTATATCATTGTCAACATTATTTCTTCATTGTAGTTTTTCTTCTACTTCGTTGAAGTTAATTAATCATACTAAAAATTAATCACTGTACATATGAATTATAAACTTATATTATTCCAATTTGAAAATTGCTTCGGGTTTAAAAACATTGCTGTCAATTTGGTGCTGAAAATATTCTATCTTTGTGGTTGTTGAAAATTGAGAATAATAATTCATATTGGACTCTAGAAATGTTATAACATTCTTTAGTCACGTCTCGTTGCTGCTTTTCTTTTTCTTCCTCTCTTTTGTGAACACATGAGAAGCAAGTTTTTTCCCCCACAAAACAATACTGTTTTTAATTAAACAATAATTATGTAAAGTCAAATAGCTTGCTTAGCTACTTTAAGAACTTTATGATAAAAAGATTCTAAATGTAATGGCAATTAAGTATATTTGAGACAACAAATGGTGCGGCAAATGTGCAAAAGAAATTGTGGAATTTGTTGGGTTATAGTAATTAATGAATTATTAAGTTTTAATTTAATAGTAATTAAATCCTACATATGACTGCCTTAAACTATATAAACCTCCTTTCTAGGTGAGGAAATATTCCTTCACCATTAATGTTATTTCCATTCAAGAGCAATGCACAACATCTTTTTGTAAGTATATTTGTTGGGGCATTTTTGTGGTACAACTCATGGGAAATGTCCACTATCTCAATTTCTAATGTTTTATTATTTTTACTCTATATTATTTTTAAGAAACTTTTCAAAAGGGAAACAACATGTAGTCACGATAAATTGTGTTATCGTGTGATGTTTATGTGTTAAATTTAAAATTAACTGCATTTTTTATTTTATGTTTTCCACATTATATTTTATGCCGTGTCTTGCTGATGATCATTACATTTTCTTCATTATAATCATATTTTTAATCGGATCATATCATATCATGTTCGTGTTTCGTACCATGACAGTCATTACTAACTATAATTGTTCCACCGTGGTTTCATTTTTCCAATCAAAAGGTAACAAAAATAAAATCAAAATATATATCAAGATCAACCCCATAAAAATTTAATTAATTGGTCAATTCGGTCCTCTTAAGGTAGTGGACTAAATTTGCAAAAAGTCAACAAGAATCCTCTCCATCATAACTAATGGTTTGACAATTATATTTTTTCTAAATGTATGCCTACTTTTAAATTGAAATGCATATAACCTAATAAATAACATAAGCAAAATTTTAACATTTCATATAATAATAGTTCAACAGTCATACTTTTTCAACATGTATGCATATAACTCTAATAAATAACATAAGCAAAATTGTAACATTTCATTTAGTAATGGTTCAACAGTTATGCTTTTTCAACATGTATGTCTACTTTTAAATTAACACTTATAACTCTAATAAACAATATAAACAAAAAATGTAATATTTAATACAATAAATATGCATTTTTGTAAAGAAATGTTCAATAGTTTAACCTAAATTGATGGACCAATTTTATATATAGTTTTTGTATTTCTAAATAGTATTGTGTCAAATTCCAGAATTTACCCCCCACATGAATTAAAAAGATAAATGACTCCCTTTAGTAGAAANGGGGTGTGCCTATAAAAGAGTACAAAACATTCACACATTTCCATCTCAACTTACATTTTTCCTCAATACTTCCTTTACTCTTCATTCTTCAACACAAAAACAATAAAAAAAAAAGAAAAAAAAAAAAAAAATCAATTTATTTTTTTCAAGAAATGGGCAATTGCCAAGCCATTGATGGTGCAAGTTTAGTAATCCAACACCCAAATGGTAAAGTGGATAGAATGTTTGGTCCAATTGCTGCAAATGAGGTTATGAAGTTGAATCCTGGCCATTATGTGGCCCTTCTCCTTACCACCACTCTCTACTCGTCGGCCGCCGGAGCAGCTGCCGGAGCCACCGCCACCACGAAGAATAACGCGAACGGTGTGAATAATGACAAGAATGCCCCTCTTAGGGTAACCAGAATCAAGCTTCTAAGGCCAACTGACACTCTTGCCCTTGGCCATGTCTATAGGCTTGTGACATCCCAAGGTTTGTTTGTTTGTCAAGTTCAAATCTTTTTTTCAATTTTGTAAATTAAATTTCAGTTAAATTTTTATTCATTTTGTTTTTTTATTTGTTCTTGCAGATGTGATGAAAGGGCTGATGGCTAAAAAGCAAAAGATGAATGAAAAGATGGCAACAGAGAAAATAAATTCAGAGTTAGAGGCAGTAAATAGGAAAAACCATGATTTGGAGAAGAAAAAGCAGGTGAATTATTATTCATTTTTCTTGAATTAAATTTCCAGGTCTAACTCATTAAATTATGAGTTTTATTAACCACTTTGATTTGATATATATATGTTTTTTTTTTTTCCCCTAGTNATTTTAAAATTTTTAATATACAACTTCTCACTCACCCCACATAAGTCAATATATGAAGGAAAAAAATAAAAATAAAAAACAGATTTTTCTCTTCCGAAATTAGCTGTTCTAACTACTAACACTGATATGTAAAATTTAAATTTATTTTTGGGCCAATTATTATAATTAAAAGGAGAGAAAAAGATGGTACACCACTAACTACACATGCATATAGTTCAAGAGAAGTCATTATTAACATGAGCAATGGCCAATTATCATGTGAACAAAAATCATTATGATTTTTTTTTATATTTTTTGAAACCTGGACAGCTCATGCTTATAATGTATCATCCTATAATTTAAAGTTGATTTTTTTTTTTTGTATAATTTTCAGGTGAAACATGAAAGGCACAGGTCAAGAAGTAACACACCAGTAATAAAATCAACAGCTATGATCAAATCCAGGGCCTGGCAGCCATCATTAAGGAGCATATCAGAATCTGGAAGCTGAAGATAATTAAATTTTTATTTATATATATTTTTTTGTTTTCCTTTTTGTTTTGATTGAAATCTGGAATATACTTTAGAAAAAAAAAAAGAATGAAGGGGAAAGTTCATCCTGAATATGGATGTGTTCAAGATAAAAGTAGATCCAGTGATTGGGATCTTGTTCACATGCAGATATAATTATGTAAACTAGAGATAATTTTTAATCTGCTAGTGGTGTTGAAATAATGGAAATCTTTTGGTTTATTGTTGTCCATTTTTTTGTGGTTATTTTTATTGAATTTAATTATGGTTTTTGAAATGGTAGAATTAAACTATGTGCATAGTTAATGTAATTAATTTCTAAACTTATCTTGCTGTGAAAATAAAAACAAAAAAACCAAAAAGAAGGAAAAATTGGCTTTGAGAGTCTAGGCAAGACAAGTAGGTAAAGAAACAAGTAACATTTTATGATATGTATATTTGAAAATTGAATTATCATACTCTAAAAAACAATAAATAAAAATACGTCATTGTTGTTATTGTTGTTTTCTAAATTGATTCATGGGTTAATCTTTAAGGTAATTTTACAGGTCCCTTTATTAGTACTATTTATTATCTCTAATATTGGTTATTTATCTACATTTATTTATTATATTAATTGGACTAAGTTAAAAAAGGTACAAAATTATATTCCTTATAATTTTTCATATCAATACAAATATGAATAAAATAAATTGTGTTACCCTATATTCCTGAAGAAAAAGAAAAAGGAGAAATTATATATGCATAAATGACATTCACAGTCACCTTGAAAGAATGAGTCAGAGAGCATAAACTGAAACGGTCCTTTTTGCATGCAGTTGCATTATTTTGACCATTTAAGATGAAATGTAATAAAAATGGGTTTCAATAGTCATCAAGCATGTAAATTTATTGGGAAAGGAAAAAAAAAAAAAAAAGAGAGAAAGAGAGAAAACCCATGGATCAAATTGGTAAGAGTCCAATCTGACTTGCTGGCAATGCAGAAGAAATTTATTAAGGGTTTGATATAAAATGCATTAATTGGGTATACCCTCATGCTATGTGGTCTTTGAAATTATAACTCATAACCACCTGCAATCATTCCAAAAACTTGTCTCATTTCTAACATGGTGTTGAATGAGACAAGTATGTGAAAGTGATGTCATATTCTTGAGAACTAACTTGAAAAATAATTGCAAGGCACATATATAAATGCCCAAGACAAATATAATTTTATAACATATACGCATACTTTTAAAATGAAATGTCATACTTTAAAAAATGATATCAACAAAAGTATGACATTTCATAACAAAAATATATAATTTTGTTAATAAAATATATGACAGGTCGATCCGTCTAATGTTTAAGGCACTTCACATAAGAATTTGTGTTCTTTCTATACATTTTTGTTATTTATTTTGGTTAAATTATGGGACAAATGACACCTCATTTTCTTGCTATGGTGAATAAGCTTATTGGTCCTATATGCATACCTGTGAATTGCTTAAAGCCATCCACTTGGTAAGGTTAAACACCTCAAACAACATATTTCTGGCTTTTACCCTTTGAAATAGCCAGATTATTTTGTATTGCAGGCTGGTATATAGACCTCTTATGATCTTTTTTTAGTTAGTTTTTAAGTTTTAATTCCAAGATTTTTATCAGAAGATAGTGAAAAAAAGCCAAGAATTGCATGGTGATTGAGTACTTGTCACAAGCTTTTCAAGATTTTAAACAGCTGACCCACAACAAGAAGATAATGAATAGATGGATCACCATAACCAAAATCAAGCCAAATGAAGTAAAGATTCATCCTTGTAAGAAAGCACAGTCCCAACAGCCCAAAGATTAACATTTTGGTCATCAAACATCTCAAACAATAAGATAAAATAACACGAAAAATGACAAAATTAAGAGTTTACCAAACAAGAAAAGGCGAAAAGAAAAAAAAAGAATTTGATAACTGAAAAATGTGTTTGATTATTTTCATTAGGATAATATTTCAGTATTGTGGACAAAATGTGACAACCTTATATTATGTGAACACAAATTTCAAAAGCTTAAAAACTGAATGAACCATTACATATCTTAAAAACCCTTCATTCAATAAGCACATTGAGAAAACAAGGTCCATAACATAATTGGTAAACACTCCATTATACCTAACCAAAAGTGAAAAAACAATCCACAAAAACAAAAGAAAACAAATCACCAGCCAAACTCTCATGCTTCAATCATCCTTTTTTATCCGAATTTTCAAGTTCTGCACGCTTTTTATAGCTCGGAAATATAAATCTCACTATCTAAGCCGTTGCATTTATCCCTTTCGCTTGCTCGAGCCTGCCTAGTTGGCTAAAATTGCCGTTTCGCTTAAAGAGCTGCGTGTGGTGATGCCTGCAGTAAAGGCGATGATCGTGCGCAACATAGTTCGAGGGGCTTATCACGCACCCTCCATGGATGCACTTGAAGCATGTCTTGTGATACGAAGATCCATCAACTGTCACCTGTCACAAATTTTCACACACACACTCAATTTTTGAAATTACTCAAAACTTTCATTTAAATTTTTTTTGAAAATTAATTACCTTTTCAAGAGGGTAAACTTTTTTGTTGCAAGAAATGCATTTATCTTGAGTTCCTGCAAACAAACTCGAAACTCTGTTGTTCACAGCCCCCTGATCGAGCAGCTTCTCGATTCTAGCAGCTTTCGGAGCCCCTGTCGAACGAGAAAGACAAACATTTTTACGATTATTGAAGATGAACTAAGTTAATCGAAAATGAGGATCAAAATCAAACATTATGCATTTTTTTTAACCTTCAAAGCTCTTATCTAAGCTGCCGGTCATCTTGAACAGCTGATTGAAGTGAGGTTTGCAGTATAACACCCCTTCATAGGAACAGTAATTACTAAGCTGCAGAACAAAAGAAATTTGTTGCCATAAACAATCAAAATCTGTAAATTACACCCAAAAAGAATTGCATATAGCTCCCTAAACTAGAGAAGCAGGAGTGTAAAAGCGAATTCGTGCGAAATATAGACGACATAACAAAATTTGTAGAAGTATGGATGATTAACTAATCCTTTTAACACATAAATAAGGTAAAAAGATACCATGACATTAATATTCATGATTGAAAGGCAAACTATGAGTATAACTACAATGAAAAGATCAACAGCTAGTAGTTACATTTTATATAACAAGAACTATTGATCTCCCAAGGCTCAAGGCAAAATTTTGGAAACCCACATTTTCATCAAGATCAAAGAAGCCATTCTAAGACATTGAAGATTGAACCCATTTTATATTACAACCCAACAAGATTTTCAGTAAGTGAAGCTAATTCTCAAAGCAAGCATTTTTCTTCATTTCCCCCCTTAATTTTCACTAGAAGAAATATGAAAATGAACAGAACCAAATACAATACCAAATAAATTGAAGAGAGGATAACATAAAACTCTACCTTTGTGATACGAAACAAATACAACATTTAATTGCATAAAGAGGTTAGAGGTTTGAAGTTCTGAAAAATTGAATAAAGGTCTAACCTTTAGGGTCCCTTTGCAATGGTGGCATCTAAAGCAGGCCTTGTGATAGACTTTTCCATCAGCTGTGAGTTGATCCACCAAATATACAGTCTTTTCACAAGCTTTACATTTCTGTGTTGTCCCTCCAAAAGCTGCCATTTTTCTTGATTTCTCCACAACTCTTTCAGAGCTCAATTTGGATTTAATTTTTAACTATCAGCAATTTGAAGAAATTACTGATACAATCATACAATATTATTTCAAATTTCTGTTTTCTGAGTGCTATTTATAATAGTGAATGTTTACAGGTGAGAGAATTAAGGAAGTAGTGCTGGAGGCATTGCCATGTGTTTGAGCACTCAGTAGTATTAGACTTTTGACTAAAATATGAAATTTGAAATAATAATATAGCCGTTTAAAAAAGACAAAAAAATAGAAGAAAAATAAAATAAGATAAAGCTTGGGCTTTCTGGAATTAAATTTGAATTTTGAGCTTTATAAACCCGTTAAATGTTACCAAGGTGTGAATTATTACATAAATTTGACGGTCTAACTGTTAGACAGAGTAGACCATCCATACTTTTTTCAAACAAAAGTGCATATTGCTATCAAATTTCATACTTTATTTTTGTTTTTATTTTTCAAATATGATATTTCAATCTGAAAATATGTATATATATATATATATATTTTGGTACATTAAAATATGTATATATATTAAAAAAGTATGTACGTCGAACTAATAGTGTCTAATACTTCTTTTAAAAAAAAATGCATACTTAGGCCGTCAAATGTTATACTTTTGTTTAAAAATATGCATTATCTGTTAGAAAATTATGATAGTAGTACCGATTTATATTATCTTAAGCTAATTATTGACTTCAAAAAAAGTTTAATTATTTGGTCACTTTTTATTTCTCCTGCTTTTTTAGCATGCATAATCTTTTCACCAGGTAATTATTTTAGATAATTTGATTATTTAGCTTAAATGTTCATAGAACTAATTAAACAGTTTATTTTTATCATTTGATGTCATGGCTTGCATGTTAGGAAAAGAACATTATGATTCGTTGGCTTTGTGTATTCTCCTGTAAAGTAATTAAGTTTATTACAAAGTACGTCGTTAAAGTCAAATTAAGCCATGATTAGGTGCCTTTTTATTTGAATTTTTTTGTCACTACTCGAGAAATTTGAATGTACAACTCATACATAATCTATATATATATAATAAGAATTAACATTTACCATAAATAGTAGTAAGGAAAAGTCAACCACATTTATTATATACTATTTTTAGCAACTTTTACATTTTAATTTTAATTCATTATCAAAAAATTGAATAGTTCCTATATTAATGGGTTTTAAATGCACGTATCATGTTTCAAAAATTATAAATCATTTAAAATCGGAGGGTTCCTAAATTAATGGTTACAAACTTTTCAAAGTTGTAATCTTTTTGGCATCTTTTCTTTTTGACTTTTAATGATAAAATTATTTTAAATATATATATTCTAATCCAAAAATTCAATCATGTTAAATATATATATATATATATATATATATTGAACGCTAAAAATATTTTTTAAATTGCATACCCAATCAATTAATCTTAATTTTTTTTAAATTACTATCTTTATTTTTTATTAATATGCATAAAATGAAAATAAATAGTTCATCTTTAGATATATAATTTATAATCTTAATATACTATCATTTGGTGTAGACATATGAATCATAAAATATTTTTATTTCATAAAACTAAATATTATATTTAAAGAAAAATAAGGAAATTACTTTGGATCAATCGGGTGATTGAATTAAGGTACTGCCCACTTTGATTGAATTACTTTTAGGTGATATTTAAAATAGTAAAAAAACTTGACACAACTTGGTTGGTCCGAGGTAACTAAGTTATGCATCAGTTTGACCAAACCACATTGATTATTGAACCTAAATATAAATTTTAATATTGAAAATACTTTATTACGTGAATGTGATGTAGTCCAAACTTCAAATATTCATATTAACAATACTTTTATGACAACATGATTAATGATTTATGAATATTTATATATCATTTTATCATTATTTATGTGAACAAAATATTTATTTGATTATCATTTTTATTAATGTACGGTAAATATAAGGTTTTCAGAATTGGACCGTCTTGTGGTTGTTCGGATTTTAATACATAATACTTTTTGTAATAAATTTAAATAAAAAGTGTTACTTAAATATCTAAACAATTTATAAATTCAAATGTTTAAACTAATTGATAAACAATTTATAAATCTCTATTTTATTTAAATATGTAATTTTATTTAAAATAATTTTTCATGTAACAAAATTTGTTTAGAAAATCGTATCGATCTTACCAGTCCAACATACTGGTGTTGGCGGATTCGATAGCAAATATTTTATTCAAGAGCACTAAATCGGTTATAAACCGGTTCTCGGTCCATCTGGTCGGACTGTGTCCAACCTGGTTTAATTTATAAATAATGCGTAAATCATGATTATTGTTATTTATTTATTTAATTTATAATACAATCAAAATATTATTTTCCCGTGCATCGCACGGGCCACGTACTAGTTAAAAGTAATAATTTTTGTATTTATTATAAAATTAATAATCTCTTTAAGATTTGAAATCCATACGGCATATATTATATAATAAATTTAAACTGTTCTACTAATATTAATTAAGAAAATAATAAAATTAACATATCAATTAAACAAATTTATTTATCAAATCAAACCAACCCAACTGTGTGGAAGAATGGCGTCCTTGATCAAAACCAGAATCACCACCCCTAATAAACTTCACTCTCACATCAAAGATTCACAAAATTCAAGTTGAAAATTTACACACAACCAAAATATATACCCAATTCAAGTTCACCTAAATTCTACTAGCCGTATATACACAACACATCTACAAGATCTTTGTCAAGATATAAGATCAACTGCACAAAGCTTCAAAGAATCCCCGGCGAAAAATGTTCTCCGGCTCAACTCAAGAGTATCTCGGCAACTCACGAACACGAGTCTTTCTCGCCACAATTCTTTTAATCGAGCAACACCACCTTATCACGCTTACCAAGACATTCCACTTCCCCTTTTGCCCCTTATCCACAGGAAGAATCGAGCCCGGCATAAATGCACCAATGTTGGTGGTGGTGTGTATATCGCTCGGAAGGGTAAAATCGGCGTCAAAGTACTGCAATTGCTCGTTTGAGAAAAAACCTCCGCCAATCGAATCAGTGTAGCCCATATGTAGTTGATCGGGCCTTAGGCCCGCGATAGGGCCCATACCTTGCAAGCAGTCGTCAAAGACCGATTGGACATAGTCTGGAAAAGATGGAGTTTGTTGTTCCAAGTAGGTCGATGGGCCAATCTTGTGAGAAGCTAAATCCTCGTTGTGAGTGACAGCTGGCGGAAAATCGGGAGATTGGAGAATGGATAAGCCTGATGATGAGGTGTGAATATCTCGGGAGGGCTCTCCGTCTAAAGTGACTACTTTCGCACGATCTCCGAATGCAGCCATAACCAACTCTCGGGCTTCAACCTAGAAAAAGAAATAAGGAACGATATATAACAAGTTATAATAAAGAACTGAGAAATGCTAAAGGTACATAATATTGTACATAAGAGTGTACATAACACTCACTCACTCACGTTGAGTGTGACCTACCAAAAATCTACCAAAAATAAAAAAATTAAGTGGACCCCACTCCCATATGTGAGTGTTATGTACACCGTTGTGTACATTTATTATGTACTTGTAGCATTTTCCGATTTTATTTGAAACACATAAGAGAATAATATGGACAAAACACAAAATTTGAGAAGTAAGATAATATATGCACATTATAGGAAGAAGAAGATAATAAATAGATGTATATGGAATAGTTTAAATATATTAAATATGGCAATCCAAATCTAAGCTATTTGGTAAAAAAAAAATTAGTAATTTTTATCCGAGTCATATTACAAAGTATAAAAAGCATAATATTTTGCTACATAAGATTACGCTTACGAAGCGTGCGAAACTGCCACTTAGGCTCAACGCGTCCTGAAATTATATATAAGGGGGATTGTCCTTGGGGTTAAGTCTAGTTATAGAAGAACCAAACCATATTTCAAATTTACAAATAGCCCCACGAATTTTATTTTAATTTCTTTACTAATTGCATGCTTTTCTTAGGGAGTTAGGAGGTGTCTGCAAGCCTAAACTCAACTTCTAAACTCTGAGATTAGGTGATACTTGTCGAGTTAATATTAAATCCCCAAGCACAAGCAATTCTTTGGAATAACTCAGTCGAAAATTTTTAGTGCTCGAGTAAAAACTAGAAAAAGTTGCAAGTAAATCTGACATGAGCAAAATTAAAAGCAGCAAAGCTAACCTTTTCTGGTTCAGACAGCTTATCAAAAGGTAGATACTGGCCGTTTGAGAAAACTCCAATCACTTGCCCAACGACATTAAAAACGACTCCTTTTGTTTCCAAATCGCCATAAGAGTATAATTTCTTGTCGAGTACACAAGTCTGAGCATGATCCACTGTAATCTCCCACATTTTAGCCGACATACCTGTCCCAAGGATCTGCAGCAGCACAATGTCAAAATTCAAGATTATTTTAATTGATACAAAATCCTTCAGATTATTATAAATTCAGAGTTGTAACAGAATTTCAAGATAATGAACAGCAAAAAAAGTTAAAGTCATTATCTTACATTCCGAAGCCTTGTGGGGTCTAAGAAGAATAACATAAGGAAGTCTTGCACGGTATTTATTCTTTCTTTCCTTAACCGTCTGTGAAAAGCTCCATCTTTGCCGATTTTTTCCAGACGCCATACTTCATCACCAAGAACTGGAGGGTGATGCTTCTTGTACACTAAAGGATTTTATTTCATTTCAATTAATAAAATGAACAGCTTTACATAAAATCTCAATAGCAAACAAGGAAATTACCAAGACTATGCAATAATTTGCAATTAATAAAATGAACTCACATTCTCCACGATGATCTCGGACAATAAACGGCTCGGATCTTGCCTCTCTAACTCTGATCTCACCAAGATTGTCCAAAATTCGAGCCCCAAGCCTAAACTTACGACTTCTTGTCCAGCTTGAATTGTCTGTGAACATAATATTCCCTACCAATCCCATACCATCATTAAGGGTCAAATTTACATCCCCACTAAGGAGGGGCTTTTTCCCTTCACGCTCTCTCACCATATTATTTTTGAACTCTTCAAGTGTCCAATTTTGTTTCTCTTCGGCATCAAAATCGCCTTCAAGAACCAAAATCTCCACCTTTGCAGAAGAACCGAGACCACTCGAAACAACTTGCCCGCTAACAGAGTCGATTAAAGCTACTTCGAGGCTCGTGCCTCCTTCTCCTTCAATACGAGTTCCAGTAAAAACGGGAAGGGATATAGCATTCAAGAATTGTAACTGTAGACTCATTGATTCGGAGTGGTGTATATCTTTCCCGCAATTCCTATAATTTATAATTAAATAAAAAAAAACATAGAAACAGTTACACATTTTATTGGGATGGCGTCGTATGTTAAAAGTATTGTTGCCTGACATAAAAAATCTGGTGACCTACCTTTTCATGCTGATAATATATTTTCTTAATGCTGTGTCCACTTCCTCTTTCACCTGAGATAAGATCATACATCTCTCAGCAAACATATAACTGGCAAATTTCAGCTAAAGCTTTTCGTAAAGACTCACAATAAGAAGGATAACAACTTACAAGGTACCTCTTCAACAACTTTTTCTATAGTTTCATATTAAAATAAATAAATATTATACAGACACTCTGGAGCATCATACTTATTTTTCAAAATTGATAACTTGTCGACTTTTGGTGATTTAAGTTGATAAAATGATCAATTCATAACTTTCGCCAAGATTTCGAACAAAGAAGTCTTATAGGAAAGAGTATACTTGTGGGAAAAAAGAATAAGTTGATCCTATGGAAATTTGTACACAAATTCATGACATGGCCAATTTATCAATTTCCCTCTGTCACACATGAACTAAATATTAAACATATACTAAAGTGTGCTACGAAATGCATAGCATCTTCCATCATTATAGCAGATCTAGAGATGGCCTAATAAAAAGGATTCTTTTATAATATTCTCCTAAGTCCGAAAGCCCAGAATCTGAAGATACTTTCGAAACCAAGAGGAGGAGATCTAGAGTGTGAATTGCCTGAAAAAATTCAGTTACTTAATTCTGAAGTGATTATTCAAATTAAAAGAGGAGCTACTTATTGCAAAAATTTACAACACAACCAAATAAAACAGCTAAGCACATCTATGCTACATATGACTTACTACTCTACGAATCAGAGGCTCCAAAACCGGCTCCATGAGATTTTGCAATTTGCACAGGCTCATTACTTGCAGCACCACACTGAAAAAGTACGGAATAATCGGTAAATTACCAGAATAATAAAACTTCCCCAAAAAATACAGCCAAATTCACAAGTTCAAACAAGTTATTTAGTACAGTCCGTACAGGAAAAGTAATATTCCATAAATGCAAGTTGAGAAGTATTCTTGAAACAACAATTTGCTTCTATTCTAGTGTCATCCTACTGAAATGTTTTCAATCCCTAAAGCAAATACATTAATAACAGAAAAGGATAAAAAAATCCAAAGTGTTTCCAACTTTTAGCTGAAAAAATATGAGTGTTTTTGGTAGCTTGAAGCCAAGAATCATCTTTTACTATTCAACAGCTTGCAAACACTCCCATATTTGAATTTCTCATTTCGAGTATAGCTCCGAAAACGATGAACAGTATAGCTTCATACCCCTTTACAGCTTAAATTATCCTCTAAAGTCCGATCAAACAGAAATAAAATAAAATAAAAAATGTAAATTACTCTAATTGAAGTTTTCAAAAGCATACTCCTATTCTTATACAATCCAGCCCGATTAACAGAATTTACATATCCAAAGAAAAGCAGTTTCATTTGACAAAAAAACAGAAATAAAAATACAAACTTTGAACAAACAAAATAACCCATCTTCAGACAACAAGATTCAACCTTTTAAAAGAGGGCGATTTCTTGGGACGCCTGTCGTCAAAGGAAGTTGTTCCCTCCTCCCTCTGCTGCCGCTTGGCCATTCTTCAAAACTCCCCACCAAAGCAATCAAACAACACGCAGCGAGTAGTACTCCACGCTTAGGATGTTGTACATCCCAGCTTTAGAGTGTTGTACGTTCAAGAATCGGGGAAAAAGAATAATATAGAATAGTAAGCAAGCAGAAGGGTTGGGTTGTTCCTTGGGGGAACAAAAGGACCAACATGCGTGTCCTAGGAAAAACAAAACTAATAATTCAAAAACTAATAATAATAAAACAACAGCGATATAATAATAAATGAGATTTTGAGAGGAAAAATCACTGTGAGAGGTGGGTGTTGTGTTGTCTGGTAGGAGAAGATACTGGGCACTGTTTTGTTTGTTTGGGAGTGATGAGAGGATGAGAACAGAACAGAGCAGAACAGAACAAAACAACGAAAGGTGCAAAATCCCTTTCTTTGTGTAGAGTCCAAAAGTGAATTTGATTTAGTTTATGTTTACCTAACGAGTTTACCGTTTTTTTGAGCTTACAGAAAAATAAATTAAAATATAACATACACGAGTTTATGATGTTGGAGTTACCATCTTACCTTTGATTTCTTATAGTTGTCGGCCGCCGATTGGCAAGCGTACGGCCGTACGCAGCCGAAGAAGGAGAAGGGTTGCGGGGTCGTGAAAACGCGTGGGACTATCCTAACGTGAGTATAATATTGATAAGACATCACTTTGGTTAATGTCATAATCAAAACCAACAAAATTTTTAGGTAAAATGTTCCTAATTTGAAAATCTACACTTTAAAATAAATAATATTTATTATTTATCAACTTAGTTTTTTCATAAAAATGTTGATAATAATTACACATTATAATTAAAAAAATTAAATACTTATCTTACATAATTAGAAAACCAACTCGGTTGTGTTGATTCATTACTAATATTGTATCCTTTTTGTTTTTTTTATT